GAGTAGATTTCTCTACTTAAAAAGTAGATTGCAAGCTGTCAATAAGAGAGGAGAGAAGAGGGCCAAGTCTGTTGGCCAAAATCTTAGTGAAGATTTTAAAAAGGCCATTAAGCAAGCTGATAGGTCTAAAGTCTTTAACATCACTAGGATTATCTAATTTGGGGATGAGGGTTAGAAAAGAGAAATTGATTTTATGGAGAGGAGAAGCATCTAAATATAGTTGAGAGAAGAACTCAAAAAGCTCATCTTGAATGGCTTCCCAGCAGGATTGATAGAAAATGATGGAGAAACCATTAGGACCAAGGAATTTATTAGGATGTAGACCAAAAACTGCTACCTTAATCTCGTCCTTAGTAAAAGGGGAGTCTAAAGATTGAAAGCCCATGAAAGGGAGAGGAGTACAAATGGTCCCAGTCAAGCTGAAAAGGAAATGGTGGTTTAGCTATGAAAAGGGTAAAGAAGAAGTTAAGAAAAGCTCTCTGTTTCTCAACTTCGGAAGAGATCATGGTACCATTATGGATCAAATGAGGGGTGAAAAATTTCCTTCTATGATGGGAGGTAGTTTTATAAAAAAAGAAAGAATTGGAGTCACATTCCTTTTTAACCATGCAATCTGGATCTCTACCTCCAATATATTTTCTTTGATATAGCTAAGGCGGAGAGAGAATCACGAAGAGAGGTTCTTAGATCTAGTTCGTGATCCAAGAGAGGACGAGATTCCTCAAGAATAGAAAGATAATTGATTTTCTCCATGATGCACCTATTATTTTGTTGCAAAGATCCAAAAATATGTTTTTTCCACCATTTGATTCTTCTCTTAAGAAGTTTAAGTTTGGAGTAAAAATTATCAATCGAGGATCCATAACAAATGAAAGAAGACCAATAACGTTCAATGCATGGTTTGAAGGAGGGGCGTGAGAACCATGATTTTTCCAACCTAAAAAGAGGCTTAGGCGAGGGGCAAGAGGTGTTCGAAATGATAAAAGAGTGATCTGAACAAGAGCAGGGGTAAGAATATTGAACAAGAGAAGGCATTGAGATTCAAAAGAAGAAAAAACCAAAAATCTGTCGAGCCTAGTCATGACAGGAGAAGATCTCATATTGGACCAATAAAATTTCCCGTCACTAAGGAAAAAGTCAATCAAGGAGAGAGAGTTAATCAAGTTTTTAAAAAGATTCATATCCCTAGCAGATCCTAATCTACCACTTCTTTCATTGGCAAATAAAGTAACATTAAAATCACCAAAAAGGGTCCAAGGCAAAGGAACCATTAAACTAACTCTTGTAAGTTCCCACCAACACACATCTTTATCGTCTTTATAAAAAGGAGCATAAACATAAGTAACAAGGAATTTCTAGTTATGATGTTTATGAAGGAGAACAACCAAGACAGAAAAGATACTATTGTATGAGTCAATGCAACTAAACAAAGAATCGTTCCACCCTAATAGTACACCTCCTTTAGAATCAATCACATCTGAATTAAGCTAGAAGGTAATTCAATTACCACCAATACTCTTTAAGGATAAAGGTCTAATAGGGTTAAGTTTAGACTCTTGAATACCTATGACATTAACATCAGAGATCATGATGCGCTCTTTAACTAGTCTTATTTTGGACAAATCATTAAAGTCTCTAACATTCCAAGTACCAAGTTTCATGGGATAAGGAAAAAAAACAACACAACTCGAAGAGAATAGAGGGTTAGGAAAACCCACTTGCTCTTTCTTTCTCCAGATACTCAATTAAGATCCTTAGTTCCACAGTTTGAGAAAATACTAGTTAGTTCGTTGTCATTCTTTGCATTTAAAGGTAAAGAGACTGAAATAGAGAAATATGACTTATCACATTTTAAGGAAGAGACAAGAGATCTGGAAGCAGCAAGATGGCGCATATATGTTTTATGGCCCATTGTCTTGCCCACTAGTTTAGACTTGCCCACTAGCTTCTTCTTTCTATCCACACCAAATGTTCAAAGCCTGGTGGAACAAAAGTGTCTTTCTTCGAACGCCTTAGTGAATCAGAGGTAGAATCAGCCGCAAAGTAAGCAACATTCTGAGGAGGATTGGAGGAAAGTTCGAACTGCCCACTCTTGGGCATTCAGAAAACACATCCACTGGTCGCGCTCAACTACCATATTGTTACCATTTCATACTACCTCAATCAATTCAGGCTCAACAAAATTAGTAGGTGCAAACTGCGACCCCAAATTAATACGAGGTCTCCTAGAATCAAGCCACACATCTACAAATTCCTTAGAAGGCTATGAAAATCCCGTCCTTTTTGAATTCAAAAGTGAATGGACCAAATTGCTCTTACCCTTCTCTAGCTTCTCTAGCGAGCCCACAGCCTTTCTGAGTAGCCGACAAAGGGTAATCTCTTCATCTTGAAGAACCCTGTCAACCAAGCCTGACTCAGAAGAGGTGTCGCCCTCCCACTTAGGGGGTGTTCGTCTACTTGCAACTGAGTTGAAAGTATGAAAGTGACTTTTTTTTAAAAGAGCGAAAATGCATCCAAGTCAGCATCTAAGTGACATACATTGTTTGTTTGTAAAAACAAGTTATTGTTGAAAGTAGAAAAGTGAGGATGATGTGGCAACATTATTTTGTTTATTTATATATTAAAAAACCATGTTTTTTCTTTAAATCACTCACAATCTCTATTTACCATTTTGAACCATATCCAGGACTGAGATCATGTAGTCATCAGCACTAATTTAACAAAATAAATAAAACCTAAGACATATATACCCATGAGATCATGTAGTCATCAGCACTAATTTAACAAAATAAATAAAACCTAAGACATATATACCCAAAACTAAGCAATCATCATGGATAAATAAATAAAACCTAAGACATATATACCCAAAACTAAGCAATCATCATGGATAGTTCTAGTATAATCTCATTGGCAAAATTTCAGCAAAAAAGAAATTCTTGGTATTATTAACATTATGACCAAATTATTGTTGTAATACTTGCAAATGGAGATGCGAGAATCACAAAGAACACGGAAGCTACAAAATGTAAATAACCCAATTATTTATTTTCAATGAAAACAAATATCAGTGACATATTTCAAACTACTGTTGCAACCAAACATGATGAGAATAGTATTCAAAACGCGGGGGAAAACAGTGGGATTAGTACTATGAGGGTAAAAAATAAAAAGGGGGAAAATACAGCTGGAAGAGAAGAGAGGCGTGAGAGAAAAATTAGAGGACAGTAAATATCGTTGAAAATAAAACAAATCTGATATATTAATTATTATAATATTTTTAATATAACGTGGTCCTCACTTTTCACTTTCATAGCTCACTTCTGCACTTTTTAGGGGATGTTGAAATTGCAAAAAATCTAATGTAAACTATATTTTGGATCTCACTTTCACTATCACTTTCAATAAAACAAACAAGTGAAGTCTAAAGAATAAGTGACTTTCATACTTACAATTTTCACTTACAACTAAACAAACACCCCCCTTAGCTTGGTGTTCACAAACTTCTTGTTTTTCAAATGCTCTCTCTCAAACTAGTCTACCGATGACCTGAGTCATCGTATATCCTTCCATGATGCTATCATCGACATGTGAAACATAGCAAAATCTGATCTCCTTGGGGATATCAGATAAGTCTAACTCTAATAAGAACCTTGCAATCACTAAAATTGGAATGGAAAGCAACATCATTGTAGCACACGTACTTGCCGACCTCATTCAAGAGAACTTGATGGAAATCTCAGTACCACAGATGGTACGATAGTCTATATAGACGGATCCAGGTCAGGAAAGGTTTAGGGAGCACCTTAAGGCTAAGATCTTCTCGCCACCAAAGGAATCTGCCCTTAGAAGAGCACATGTAAATAATCTTCAAATTCACAGTTCGCTCCAGAAGATCGTCATTAGGGAACTGAACCATAAACCTAGTGCCAGCAGCTTCAGCAATCTTATAAGGCGAATCCTTCAAGTTGAAACGGTAAGCAAGCATCTCCTTAAGCCCAGAGAGGGAAGGGGTGCCAACTGAGAGATAGAAGATAGCATAAGAGTTGAGGTCTCCTATGACACTGAGGGTTTCTGGAGGAAGAGCAAGCACAGGAGAGGTGCTAATGGATGTATAATATTACCATGGCATATGAAGCAGATTAGATTTAAACCACCTTAGTCCAGCCCTCCTCTTGATCTGGATCTGAGAAAGGAGTGGAGAGAGAGGAAGAATTCCCTTTTGAGAAGATGAAGGGGCGTTATTGGTGAAGAGAAATCAAAAGGGTTTTGGGAATGAGGAGTGCCGAACCGGCTGGGCACGATGGCCAACGTGCGGGGAGGGTTAAGAGAAAGTGGGACGGAAACTGTTGATGTGATGAGAAGGGGGTGGTTGCTAATCTCCATTGCTTACCTCCTAATCTCTCTGAAAGCTTTAAATCCATAACTCTTGGAAGCCAGCAAGTATAGCCTTGCCCACCAGGCTACTAGGAGCTTTTGTCACAAAACATATACAATAACCCATTTAGTTCGGAAAAGCTAGCTTAATTAGGTTTTGAAAAACAAGCTTTTGCGCAAAACCTGCAACAATATTCCCACTCAAGGTTCGAGTTAGCATTGCTATCATGTTTCAGCCAATATGTACAAGTAATCACATGTGTCAAAGGGATTCTAATTTCCGTCACGCCAAAATGATATCTATCTAAGCGCTTGATGAAATATATTGTTCATTATATGATGACACTGGACGAAAAAGCAACTAACAAAAACAACAACAATAAGGCTTTTATCCCAAATATTTGGGATCGGCTACACGAATCCTATTCTTCCATTGCATTCTATTATGGGACATCTCCTCCGTTAAGCTAAGCATAATCATATCCTTCTTAATTGCTTCTAACCTACCTTTTTTAGCTCTACGTCTAGAACTTTTGACCCCATTAACCATAATACTATCACCTTTCCTAATCGGTGCACTAAGGAGTCTCCATTGTACATGATGAAATATGTTGTTCATTATATAAAATTGGACAAAGAAACAACTAAGAATATAGCAATTTTTTGCAACAAACTTTTGCCGAAAAAACTAGATAAGTGTTCCTCAAATGCTTTCATCCTCTCACTAAATCTTGCACACTTCTGCTGGTGACAAGTTCACACCTTGGATAAAATTAAGAAGAGAAAATGTACCAAATAAATTAAAAAAAGGGAAAAAAAAAGAAAGAAATAGAACTCATCTACATTTATTTCTCTGACGTTAAGAACTTCTCATACTGAGATCCTCTGAGGGCTTTTCTAACGGCACTCCAGTTCCGCACCATTTGAGACAAGGGTCTTGTATGTATCTTTACATGACCACTATGCAATGGTTGCCTTGGTACATGGAGAAAATCCATAACTTCATTTAGCTTTTGCTGCACAATAAGAAAATATTTGTGAATTATATTATCACTGAAATACAAGAGTAATATATGTGGTTAAATGTGTTATATATTTATTCGTGCACACAAATAAATAAGCTGATCTTTTTTTACATGTGCTGAAAATGAATTAAAAGACAAAATTAGGTCCATAAACAATATTATATCAAACTTATGCAGACGATAGGTTTACAAACATTTACTTATACAACAAAAATAGATGATATTTAATCATAATCAATTGATCAAAACATTTATGATATTTGGATTTTTAACTAATAAAATCACTATGATGTTCACCTGGAAATTAAGCTAATTCATTAAAAAATAGGCTCAACAAAAGTTTTGGATGGCCGGTTGTAGGCATTTGGGAATAAATCTGCTTTTAAGCGAGAATGATGAAGATTGAGCTTTAAATTTAAACCACATCCCTGTCCTACAATCTGTTTGCTCAAAAGGTTAAGCTAACGGATGATTGATCAACGATGTAATTTTCTTCGGTAAATTTGTTTACATATTATGACCATATACTCTGTCTTAGCGCCTAATTAAACAATTGTTAACACTAGCAACAATAGTTCCAGGGAAGAAAAAGTTTCACCACTACCAAAAAGAGAATGCAAATCCTAACCATCATCATTTCAAGCCAATTAAAGAAAAACTAAAGCAGTTTTTGTGGGAGCTCACCGTGTTATTCTGAATAAGATCCTCATAGTAGAGAAACATGTTGCGGATGCTCTTGAAGTGCCCTACAGCTTCATTAGCAATGTCAAATTCACGTTTCAGTCTTGCAACCAAGTTCCTGGGGTCAAGCTTCGGCTTGTAATTTGCTAATATCTCTGCCTGCAAAAACCCCAATAATTTTCATGGACTTGCATAAGGAATTTAATATTAGAAATTGCGTTCTTAGTACATATATCCCTTAAATCATGCATATTTGCAAAAATTCCCTCCAACTTGTTAACTTTGGCAGAAATACCCCCAACAAATCATCAACTTTGTTGGATATGGTGAGCAAAATTTTGACTACTTACGTTACTATTTTTATATTGCAGTTACAAATTAGCATATCAAAGTTTGATAATTTGTTTATTTGGGGAGTACTTTTTTTCTTCCAACGTTTATTATTTGGGGTGGTTTTGCAAATACAAATACTTTTAAGGAGTATACATACTAACACCTTTAATATTTTACAAACAGGTGGTTAGATTTTCAAGATGTGAGAGTTTTACCTCTTGCTTCGAAATTACATGAGCCTTATGTGTTCCATTAAGTAGTGTAGGATCCTGGTCATTTGCTAGTAAAGAGATCATGCGGCGTAGTTGATTTCTTCTAAATAGGAAGATCACTAACACCCCTTTTTGTTTGAAGTAGTTGAAAACCTCTCTTCTGTGCTCCATGAGGCCCTGCAATCCCCATGATGAGTGTTTAAAAGAAAATCTATGATTTGAAAATATTTTTTGTGTACAGATCAACAACATATATCATGATGTAGATCATTAAATTAAGAATCCAAGTAACTGATCTTGATCTTAATAGTGTAATATGATAATATCCTTCAACACAGAACGTGGATAGTTTGGGTTCTTAAAGCAGTAGAAACAAACGAACTTGCAATTATAGACAGTCTATTTAATCTAACTAAGTGCACAAGAAATTCTTTTGTAGTAAAATTAGATTTAGATCATACTCAATAATCTAGGTATACTATGTGAATTGTAAATTATGATTTCATAACTGCTACAACAGACATTAAATCTTATCTATAAAGATCCTAGTCAAACTCTGCACATGTGCATCTCATATCCATGCACGGACATACACATGTATGTTATATAATATTGATAATTGAAAATCAATATAGAATCTAGAAATTTTAAGGCCTCTTGCTACCACATTGCACCACTTCATGTCTTCATCAACCTAAAGTTTTTCACTAAAAAGAAAAACTATAAAATTAGAATTCAACTATGGATCATCCTAAAATTTCGTCTAAAACTCCTCTTATAGAGTTTTCTATCAACTCCTATTTGGAATAAGAATCTCCTAAAAGTTTCTTCAAAACATTTCACCAAAAGTTAGTTCTTACCAACTCTTTGTATGACAACAGAGATATATGCACGCTGGGAAGAAAAAATATTTAACTTTGAATTGAGTAGGATTGCTTGTTTAATCTTGAACTTTCTCAATAATAAAAAGAATTGAGTTTCTCAGTAATCTTGAAGCTTCAAAGATTATTTTCCTCTTCCTCGTATACAAGGATTCACCTCCTCAAACATGATCTTGAACATTAGCAAGGAATGATTCTCACGAAGGACTACATCATGTGCCCGCCCTCTTGCAATGATCGGCCATGTTGTCTCGTCCTGGAATCTTATTCATCACACCCTGTGTAAGAGTATGTCCTGAAATCTTCTTGGGAAATTTAACCGGTGTTCACTAGGTTACTCTATGGAGTCCGTGGGCGGTTGTTGCTGGCTGTTGCGAGTTTATTTCCAATTTCAGATCCTAATCTGTTAGGGATTGTTGAGGTTTTCTTTATATTTGGAAATGACTCTATAGAAGGGGTTGCTACATCAGATCTAGGGCATAGGAAAATACATAAATCAGGGAGAAATCCATAGTTTACCTATGAGAGAGTTTGAGATCACTGATCTCATCTGTGTAATATGTAATCTCTCATCTGATTAGTGAAGATTTAATTGCTTCTCTTGGACGTAAGAGATTTGGAAATGACTCTCTTGGAAGCCACAACAGGCTTTGTGCAAGCAGGGGCTATTGAAGGGAGCCAAGAATGGAAAGGTTGAGTTCTGTGAGCACTGTGTTCTTGGCAAGAAGACGAAGGTGAAGCTCAGAACTGTCATTCATAGGACAAGTAACATCCTGGATTATGTACACACAGATGTTTGGGGTCTCACTAAGACTGCATCACTTGGTGGTCGACATTGGTTCCTCACGTTCATTGATGACTATTCCAGGCGTTGTTGGATGTACACCATGACTGTTTGGGTCAAAAATCGTTGTTTTCATTGTGATTGAATCTATTACAACTTTAATCGTTTACAATAAACTCAAATAAAAAGTAGATCTTTTTATAAGGTCTCCTTATACAATGAAAATACAAAAGATACGACTCTTATCAAACAGCGTAGCTGACGTTTATCACCCGCTGCTTGTGTGGGATCTTTGCCTGTGCCGGGGACGTTAATATCCGTGGACCGCTACGGATCAGATCCGGTTGACAGATAGATGATCAAAGCTCTTACTTCATGAAGGAAGTAATCGCTGCAGCGATGATCTCGACCAAGCGAGATCACGGCTCTTCTCGAGATTTAAGACTAAGCTTAAATCCGGAGGAATAGGGGACCGGTCTCGAATCTCTCGAACTCCACTCTTTATGCACAGAAGATCGCCAAGATCTGCTAACCCTTGCTATAAATTCGTGGCTTCACTCTTCAATTCGGCAGTGTTTCGCCCTCTTAATGTCCAGCCCCGGAGAAATGAGCACCCGAGCTCGTATTTATAAGCTTCGGAAGCGGGTATTTGGATAAGAACGAGGGATTCCTCCTTATTTACAGTTAACAACTGTATAACCATAGTATCAGATCAGTTGGAAGAACGTCCAGAAACACACAAATCCCGAAAGAATCCATAAAAAGAACCGAAACAAAACTGATTCTGACCGAATTGCCACTTGGTGGCTCGGGTTTAGCCGAGCCGCTCGGGTATAGCCGAGCCATTGGCCCGACCGGATCGTTTTGACGCGATCCGACCGTCAGAGGCTTTCTTGGTTTTCTTGAGTTTGACTTGTTCCATCGTTTATGTGTATTTCATTGTTTCGCCGACCAGTACGCTTCCTCGATTCGCTTTGCACATTTCGTGAACGTGCGGATCGCTTAACGGTAGCTAGTGAGTACGCGGGACGCTTGGAACTGGGTGGTGAGTGCGCGGAATTGTCGGTGAGCGCACGGGACGTTTGGTTCGCCGTTCCGGTGGCCATTGAGCGTACGGGCCACTTGACGGTGGCCGATGAATACACGGACCGCTCGGGTAAATCTTCTCGACTTGGATGATGACATTTATCACCTCCTCTTTGTCTTGAGCCGTATACGGGAACCTACAGATATTTTTTAGACGCCTACAGATACCCCCTCCAAAATATTTCAGACTCATTCTTTTATAGAGGAGTCTGCGATGCTTTGGATATGATAGACCCCCACCTTCAGTCGGTAACGAAGGACCTGTGAACTGCTTCAATTCTTGACTTCTTCAGCCTTCAGTCTATTCAGTATTTTGTCGAATAGATGAAGTTCTTCCGGCGTTGCGTTTATCGTTTGATCGTTGTCAAAATCTTGAATCGAAATTGGTGAGTTAGTATTGGCTCGTGTCGTTGAGTTGACTTTGAACTGATTATCTTCGTCGCAACGTATTGACCGACATTGACCTATAGCTACGCGTTGATTGGCGTTGGCCTTAGGGTTTTGTATCGATCGGCATTGACTTCCATCGCAACGCGTTGATCGACGTTAACACAGTTTATACTCGTACGTTTGCTGGAGTCTACACAGTTTAAGCTCTTAAGACATTGGAGCGTGACGGTCCCAAATATTGGGGCTGCAGGACCAACTATTAAAACTGATTCATCTGCATGTGTGGATCTTATCCTGAAGTTGTTGGATGCTCGAGCCACGAGACCAGCTAATGGGGCAGGTGCGTCAATGACTCTCACATTTATAGGATTTTTAATAAATCCTCAGCCATCAATGGGTTTGATGAGCCTTTACCGACTACCGTTTGAGTCGGGCTAGCGTGCAAATTGTTTAAGTCTGTTTCGCACGTAACGTTGTGCTAAAAGACGAAGATTTTTGGCAAATCCTCAGCCTTTAACGGATTTGGCATGCCTTTACCGACTACCGTTCGAGTCGGACTAGCATGCGGATTGTTTTAAGTCCGTTCCGCATGTGACGTTATGCTAAGAGAGTTAACTCTCTTAGTGCTACGATATTGAATACGTAGACTTTGTCCTTCTCACGGGAATAGACTACCCAGCAACGCGTGTTAGGCGCTGACTTATCCTTACTTAGGCTTTGGGATAAAATGCCCCAGATTGGTATTCTGATGTCTTTTTCAATCGGTAAAAAACTAAACCGGCAACGTGTGTTAGGCGCTGATTTATCCCTACTTATGCTTCAGGATAAAATTCCCCATGCATAAAAAGGTATGGATTTTGTTGCTACGATACCGAATACGTAGACTCGGTCGTTTTCACGAGAACGAACCACCCAGCAACGTGGGTTAAGCGCTGACTCATCCCTACTTAGGCTTCGGGATGAAATGCCCCAGATTGGTATTCTGACGTCTTCTTCAATCAGTAAAAGACTAAACCGGCAACGCATGTTAGGCGTTGACTTATCCCTGCTTAGGCTTCGGGATAAAATTCCCCATGCATAAAAGGCATGGATTCTTATTGTTGAAAGATGATGTCTTCTTTTGGGGCAAAGACGAACCCGATGCGGGAGAGAAAGAATTTTATATTCTATTCCCAAAGCTGAAGAGGAAGAATTCTATATTCTATCTCCAGTTACAAAAAAAAACTCAAAGTGGGATCTTCACTTTAAGAATCCGAAAAGGTGAAACTAAGAGTGGGATCTCCACTCCGAGAATCAAAAAGATTCGGATAGCCCTAACTGTCGGAATGTTTGATTACCGAACTAAATATGGATTTCTTGTTTATCGAGAGTGAATTATGGTTTTGGTCCTTACTGTGGGAAGGTTTGATCAGGCGGGAGTTTAAGGTGATCCTAACTGTAGGAAGGTTTGATCATTCGATTTGAAAGTGGACCTCTCGTTTATTGGAGGAATCGAGAAGGGATTTTGGTTTTGACCTTAACTGTAGGAAGGTTTGATCGAGTGGGAGGTTTAGACGATCCTAACTATAGGAATGTTTGATCGCTCGATTTGTGGATCTCTCGTTCATTAGAGGAATCGAGAGGGGATTTTGGTTGTGGTCCTAACAGGTAGACAGTGGGAGTGTTGACTCATACAAATCACTCAGAGGGGGTTCCTGGTGTTAAGTGATAAATACTTAACACAGAGGGGTTTGACAATCGTCAATGATCAGGATATTAAAATTCCAAGTACTATGTCCGAACTTTAACTATAGGGATGTTAAGTGCACAGACGCATCAAAAATTTGAGTGGATTCATCGAAAGGAATTTTGGTGGTCACACCGTTAATTAGTCTGATCGACGGGGGATTTTATGGTGAAAGACTATGAGTCGTCAAACACCAATGGGAGTTTTATGAGGGAAGATTGATCCAACGAAGTGATCGAATCTCATCTCAGCAAAAGAGTGTTCGGAAATCACAGTGAGAGTTTAGTGTTTATCACTTTGTTTGTAATGA